AATTCTTGACTCGGCTTGTGAGAGGCTTCAACCAGACTCTGGGGTAAGGGATTCCTTTCCCTTCCCATGTCCTCTTAACTTTCTCTAGCTTTCTACCCTATCCCAGAACAACATTTGCCTAGCATGCACTGAACCCTGGGTTCAATCATGGTACTTAAAATAAAATTTCACCCTAGGCATCAATTATTGTTCCATTTAGGGGGAAATCTTGGACTTAAAAATAAGTCCCCCATATATATCCATTTACTTTAAATTTGAAGAGTCTATCTTATTCCCTAAACGTAGTGTTCATAGATATTTAAAGGGCCACATCTGAATGATTCTCTTCCCTTCATAACAATTTTTATCTTGAAAAAATTTTGCAAATATGGAACCATTTAAAAAAAAATCCAAGAGTAACGCCCCTCCCCATTTTATTCATGGGAAACACGTCAAAGCAAGCCAAAAACAAAACCCACAAAATGAAGCTGCAGCTGAGGCAGACAAACAGATATTCCAAATCGACAGGATGAATCCGTGCTTATTCCTGGATAACTGCCTTTCAGATGTGACGCTCAACTCTCACCCACATACTTAAAAAATAAATGAATCTTTTGATTGGCATTTGGAGTATTGGAATCTGAACCCGGGCTTTATTTTTAAAGCCCGTTCCCATTTGTATTCACGGGCAAGCTCTGCTCTCTGGCTCCATCCCTGCCTTTTGACATTTAGATGTTACCCAAGGTAATAAGTGGCCCAGATTTGAGCTCTGAATTGGAGGTGGGTTACCTCGTCCTGGTGCTGCTGGTACTCTTTCACGTGCACCGCTCTGTTACTTAATGGTATAGAGTAGTTAATTTAGTCTTACATTTGAAAAGACCTAGAAAAAAAAATAGTCCATTGCCAAAGAAGCTTCTTGCGAGTGTTCCTGGAAAAACGGGCCTGGGCTAATGCATCCATTTTCACAGCTGTTGAGCACTTACTGGGACCAAGGTGTCTGCTTTTGTGGCCCTCAGCCTTCCTTGTGGATGTGAGCAAAAATTTCAGGGTCATTTCTGTGTCGTTTTCTCCTCTTTCAATTTTTGTTTGGAAAGATATCAAACCTCCAGAAAAAAAATAGAAAGTGTAGCATGTTGGGCAACTGCGTATCTTACATCTTGATTTATGAATTATTGTTTGGAACAGTTGCTTGTCTGTCTATCTGTCTGTCTGTGTAATTGTTTATCTTTTTCCTAACCCATTAGAATTTTTTTTCTCTAAACCAGGTGTATGGGAACACTAGAGAGGCTGAGGCAGACATGAGATTCTCTCTTGGTCTGTGTGTGTGTGTGTGTGTGTGTGTGTGTGTGTGTGTGTGTG